GTGTCCCCCGGCGCGGGCGCAGACCCCCCCCGGGGGGGCGGCCGCGGTAGCGCGGCCTGCGCAGCCCCACGGTGCCCTCGCAGCTTCGCTTTGTCACCCCCTCGAAAGGCGCCCCCATCCATCCCCCCCGGGACTTGGGGGTCCCGACTGCTCCCCGCCACCGAGCGCTGCCACCTCCCCGCCCCGGGACTCTCCATCCCCTCCCAGGAAGACACAGGAGGCAGCAGGAGCCAAAATCCAGAAAATCAGGATTTCACACTGAATCCTGGGCCGGCAGCTCAGGCCCTTCTCACACCTGCTCCTTGTTCCAGGCTAAAAATGTGGCCTTAGACTGGAGGCAAGGTCCAAGGGCTTGGAGAGAAGGTCCGGGGGCTGGGGGGAGCAAAGGTCCATGGGCTGGGCAGAAGGTTCAAGGGTTGGGGGGAAGGTCTATGGGTTGGTGGGTGGAAAGTCCATGGGCTGGGCAGAAGGTTCATAGGTTGAGGGGAAGGTCCATGGACTGGAGAGAAGGTCCGTGGGTCGGGGGGATGAGGAGAGGAGGAAGATGCCTCCACTGCACCCCTCCTGCTCCCCTTCCCTAAGCACAGCCTGAAATGCCCCAAGGCCAGGGCTGCTCCTTGAGCTGGCAAGGACGCCTCGAGGATGGCCTTGCCCAGCCATAATCCTTTGAAGGCCCTGGATCTGGGCATCTTATTTATCCTGCCTCGCACTGAGCTGTAACTCGTAATCAGACGTGGCAGTTCAGCCACCGATTGCTCACAGCACCCCGCGCCAAGCAGCAGAGCCGTCCTCACCGCGCTCGCTCCTCTCCGAGATAAAAATAAATAAAGTCCAAGGCAGGCTGCAGCTCTGAACTAATATTTAAAATGCAAAATCATGGCAGAGTTTTTTTTCCCCCTTGTCTTGCAGTAAAAAGATATAAACAGAATAAATTACCTTCCCTCACTGGCTTATGAGAGTCCCTCTCTCCTGACCTGAATTTTAAGTCCTGCCTCGGTTGTAGCACCGGGTGCTGATGATTTATGAAAAGCCAGCTGCTCCTCTGCATATTTTCTCTGTTCAGCCAAGTGATGGCATTTATCCTTCCTATACCATTAAAGACATTAACAGTGGCTGCTCATTGCCAGTGAAAACCTGAAGCCAGGCTGAGCCCGAGGGGCGGCCGGGCTGGGAGCTGGGGCTCTGCATGGACCCATCTCCGAGCCTGGGCTCTCGCCAGCCACCCTAGGCCAGTCGGAGCCGTTTTTACCCATGGGGAAACTGAGGCACAAAGTGGCACAGGAATCATCACTGCAGCACGGCGCTAGGCCTGACCTACACTCCCCAACACAATGCCTACAATGCCTGACACAGGCCAACACACCAGGGAATTTTTTTGCATCTTTCCACCATTGACATCTCCGTGGCAGGATTTTCCCTGACCCTCAGGTATCAACATCCAGGAGGAAAAAAAACCTTCATCCATAGGTGGAGGCCAAATCCGCAGAGGATCTGGCCAGCACCTCTGCCTATGCCCACTGACACTGCTCCGGAGCGGGGCTGAACCAGGGCACAGCCGCCCTCCTCCTCCTCCTCCTCACCTCTCCCAGGCCTTTGGCACATCATGACGAGGATACTAAAACAGAGCACAGGGTCATTCACTGGGTGAACACAGGCTGTTATTATTATTATCATTATTGTTGTTATTAATGCTGTTGCTGTTATTATTAATATTCTAAGTCCAAGGCTGCTTTCGGCCCCTCAGGCCCCAGCCCCTGGGTGGCCCCAGCAGGGACCCAGCCCCAATTCCCATCCCCGTTAGGAACATCATCCCAGCACCTTTCTGGTGGCCCATGGAGCTCCGTGTCCTGGCTGGGGACACCAGAGGCCCAGGTCCCTCCCAGGCAGTACCCATGGGACCACCAGGACCGATGGACAGCGACAGAAACTGGGAACATGGGAAGTCACAGGGAGCGTCTTATTTGGGAAAAGGCAATGGGAAAACATCGCTCTCCCTCCCAGGCAGTACCCATGCGACCACCAGGACCGATGGACAGCGACGGAAACTGGGAACACGGGAAGTCACAGGGAGCATGAGCCCAGCATAGTGTCTTACATGGGAAAAGGCAATGGGAAAACATCGCTGCTGTTTCTGTGTGACCTTTTTCCCTTTCCTTTTTGGGGCGGGGGGAAGGGGAAGGACTGCACAAGGTGGAAAGCAATCAGGTTTTGGACCTAGGATAAAAAATTGCTGGAGGAGACTGGGCTGACTCCTGATAATTAATAGCAGGCCTTGTAATAGGATTCTCCAGCCTCCGGTGCTCCCTGGAAACACCTTTTTACATAAGATATTGCCCGCGCTGGAGCGGCAGGGTTGTGATTTATGGGGTTTCGTCCTCCAAGAAGCATCTCATGGGCTGGCCTGGCCGGGGGAATTTATCAGGGGGGAAAAGGAAAAAAAAATGAAATAAAGGGAAGGGAAGAGCTTTCCATGAGCCTTGTCCCTGAGACATGGAGACTCACCAGGTCCTGCTGGTGGGAGCCGCTTGGTACCCTCTGCCCTATGTGCTGAGAGGGACAAGGAGGAAGAGGCACAGGGATGCCCAAAGGAGCCTGGTAGCTCCTGAGTTATTTGGGGAGTTTCCTGCATGCTCCGGCCCCCACACAACACAACAGGATGGGGAGGAGGTTACAATCGTTAAGAACGATCACAACATTAACACCTAAAGACAGGGGCAAAACAATTAGCTCACGTTAATCAGGGCTGGGAGCCGTGAGGAGGGAACACGGGCGGCATCCGCGTGTCAGGGACACATGTAGGG